GCCTCTTGCATTAAGTAGACAAAAAAGGGTAGATATTAATTATGGTGTTTACTTACCATTCTCATGCATTAGGTTTAAACACTCGACATCTTATTTTGGACCACTCTTGTTGATGTCAGCTATGTATTATGGTGTTTACTTGCCATTTCTCATACGTAGGTTAAACACTCGAACGACCATTATTTCGACCCTCTGGATGATGGCAGATATTTAAAAATTATGGTGTTTATTTGTGGGCCATTTCTCAGCATTAGGGTTTAAGTACTGGGAGAACTTATTCGGACCCCTTGCAAGATGCAAGATCATGTAATTATAGTGTTTACTTGCTCATTTTCAGCGATGCATTCAGGGTTTTAACACTTGGACACTTATTCTGAACCTTCTTGCACTGGTGGCAGATATGTAATATGGTGTTTTATTTCCATTTCTCATGCAGTTAGGGTTTAGACACTCGGACGTGGCAGTCGGACCTCTGCATGATGCAGATATGTAATTTGGGGTTATTCACCCATAATCTGTCTTGCATTAGGGTAATAAATACTCGCGACGAGCTTTTATTCGAGACCCTCTGCATGATGGCCGATAATGTTTAAAATTTTTGTTAATGGTTTAACCTTGCCATTTCTCTTGCATATTGGCTTTAAAAACTTGGACACCTTATTCGCCCGCTGACGGATTGGCATATATGTAATTATGGGTTCACTTGCCACTTCCATCATGCATTAGGGCCTTTATCCTCGTACACTTATTCGGGACCCTTAGGACGATGGAGAGATTGTAATTATAGTGTTAATTTATCATTTCGTCAAGCAATTTGGGTTTATAACGAGCAGACATTTATCTGTGAGACCCTTGCATGATGACAGATATGTAATTATGTGTTTAATCACATGTTCTCATGCATAGTTGATTAACACTCGGCACACTTATTCGGACCCTCTGCATGATGGCGGATATGTAATTATGGTCGTTTACTTGCCATTTTTAGGCATTAGGGTTAAACACTCGACACTTATCGGACCGCTCTTGCATGGTGGCAGATATGTAATTTAGGCGTTTACTTCTCATTTATCATGCATTAGGATTTAAACACTCAGACACTTATTCGGACCCACTTTCCATGATGGCAGAGTATGTATTATGGTGTTTTACGTGCATTTCTCATGCATCAGGGTTGAACACTCGGCACTTATTCAGGAGCCGTTGCGTGATGGCAGATATGTATTATGGTGTTTTACTTTCCATTTTCATGCATTATGCCTTACATCGGACATTATTCACCCTCATGCTGATGGATATGTAATTATGCGTTTATTTTCATTTCTCATGCATTAGGGATTAAACAACTCAGACACTTAATTCGGACAACTCTTGCATGTTGGCCAGATATGTAATTATGTGTTTTGCTTGCATTTCTCGATGCATTAGGGTTAAACACTAGATACTTATTCGATCCTCTTCCATGATGGCAGATAAGTAATTAATGGTGTCTAATGCCATTTCTCATGCATTAGGTTTAAGACACTCGGAACTTAACCCCGACCCTCTTGCGTGATGATAGATATGTTAATCTAATGGTGTTTTACTAGCCATTTCTCATGCTTACGGATTAAACACTCGACCTTATTCGGGAAACTCTTGCATGATGTCAATTATTAATTATGGGTTTACGTTGCCATGTCTCATACGTTAGGGTTAAACAGCTCGACACTTTTCGACCCTCTGCATTATGGCATGATATTTAATATGGTGTTATTTTCCCATTTCTCAAACATTCAGGGTTTAAGTACTGGGAGACTTATTCGGACCCCCGTTGCAAGAGGCAGCATCATGTAATTATGGTGTTTCTTGTCCATTTCCATGATAAGGGTTTAACACTTGGCACTTATTCGACCTCTTGCCGATGCAGATATGTAATTATGGTGTTTATTTGCCATTCTCATGCATTAGGGTTTAACACTCGGACAGTGAGTCGACCGCTTGCAATGATGGCAGATATGTAATTATGGTGTTTATTACAAATATCTCTTGCATTCAGGGTAATAAATACTCGGAACTTGGTTCAACCTCTTGCAGATGCCGATATGTGATTATGGTGTTACCTTGCATTCTCTTGCATAGCTTTAAAAACTTTCACACTTATTTCAAGACGCTTACGTAATGGCATATATGTAATTATGGCGTTCACTGCCATTTCACATGCATTAGGCTTTTTAACACTCGACACTTATTCGGACCCTTATGCACGATGGAAGATATGTAATATAGTGTTTTATTTATAATGTTCCATGCATTTGGGTTTAAACACTCAGACATTATTTGGACCCTCTGCATGATGACAGATATGTAAATTATGGTGTTTAA